CTATATTTAAATTCTATCATCATCTCTAAAACAACAAAACTATTTTTTTTCTATTTTTTTAGTAATTAATTAATAGATCTATTAATAAAAAAATTATGAAATTTAGAGCCAAGTTGATTTGACATTAGAAAAAAAAATGAATATATATATATATATATATATATATATTCATACAAATTGTTCATCCAAACTAGGATTTTCTGAAGACAAAAATGATATGTCTTTAGACTAGATGAGGACTCTGAAAGGCATCATTGTTATAGAGCTTTAAAGAGCATGTGCTTTGTTTGGCATAGGAACATGGTTGCACTACCTTAAAGAGATTACAGAAATGATATATTTTGTAAATTTAATAATTTTTGTGAAATGAAACTATTTTGCAATTAAAAATCTGTACTTTTTTACCACATGAAACTACCTTATAAAAAAAACCTTTATTTTTGTACAATTTAAAATTATCTTATGACATAAATTTGTCTTAATTACAATGATATGCTTCTTTAATAGATATTATATATATATATATATATATAAACACACACATACATTTATACATACATACATACATTCAAGCATATTTAATTAGAAACCAAAAAAATAGAACAAAAAAATAGAATAGAAAGATAGTTCAATTACTAGCAATAGTCTTACAATAAAAACTTTCTTCTTGTTAAAATAAAATTACTTTATACAATTTTTATGCAATTAGATTATCTTTACAAGTAAACTAAAATATAAGAATAATAATGATCATTTTTTTTTTTGTTATTTTACTTCAAAATAATTTTGAATTAGTAAAAATCTTAAAAGATACCATGAAAAGGTTTTTATTAAATTACTACTAGAGTATGCCTTGACAATAAATTCTACCTAAGATATCATGCTTTATAAGGCTTAGTCAATGCAACCCCATATCTTTTTTCCACTAACAACTAGGTGCCCCAAAACAACAAGTAGGGAGTAGTTAGGAGCTAAAGAATTATCTATACACATTTGTTTTTGTCTTGCCAATTTGATATATATTATAGAGGATTAGGCACTTGGTATGGTGCTCATGTTGTTAAAACTTCAATTTGATTCCAAAAAATTGCTATCCACTAGACTCTTAACTTTTCACACATCAATTTTTAAACATAGAGCTATTTTCTTTAGATATCTATCTTCCCATTTGGCCGCACTCATGAGCAACAAAATAAAAAAATATAGACTTTTTCCAAATTCTTAGACCCCAATTCTAAGTACAAATCTTAACAACTCTTTTTCCTCTAGTTTCTTATCCAAAAATCTTTTCTCAATGGCTCAACAAAAAAATATTAATAATAATTAATTTAATTTAATATACATACACATACATACATACATACATACATCAACAAACAAACAAACAAAAAGACGAATTGTACCAAAAAATATATAGACAAATTGAATCTTACCCATAAAATCTCTATTTGACATGATGGAAACTAGCACAAGAGCATCAAATGTTGTCTTAAAACACACTTAACACACAAACAAATAGTTTTAAAAATAGTTTTAAAGGTGATTCATTAAATAGAGTGACTAACCCACGTCTTTCAGGCTACTCCAACCAGACACATACCTTTTGAGGTAACTTTCTAGGAAGCATTCCCCCGCAGTAGTCAACAGTTCGACGCGCAGTGTGAACAGAAGAATAACGGAGCCCCGTCTCCCTATTCTAGCCCCGCATTCTCTCAAGCAAGCGTGTGAAAAGCGTGGACTTTGGGGGATCGGAACAGCGGTTGCGCGATCCCTCGATTCGGATCAGTGCGTTTCTATCAACTGGGTCCTTCCCTGCTTGCGATTCTCGAAGACCCACATCGTTGTTTTGGTCATTGGTGAGCGGTGAGAGTCATTTTAAATTACGGAAACCATCTGCACAAGCATGCCTGCGACGAGAATCCTGTGCGAGAAAATTGGGAATTAAATGAAAGATTGGGGAGTGCAAGAAAAAAAGGACCAGATCATGGGTGTGGTCTTCGAATCTAGTGTAGTTTCGAGTTGCCTTTCTTCGAGATGCGGAGCTCCGTCTGTTGCTTTCATTGTTTTTTTGGCAGTAGCGGAACCTTTTGGGTAGTTTATTTCCCACTCTTTCTTTCGTTGTTAGACGCCAGTTCGTCTCGTGTTTTGTGTGTGAGGTGCGTGAAATGATGCTTGCCAATGCGCACGATGTATTTTTGCGGAAGTTCTCGAGGGCCCGGTGCTGCCGGATGATTAGACAGATGGAGTTCTCATCTGGATCATAACTTTTGCAACTTAGGGTTTTGGTCCAGTATGTTTTAGGTATCATGAATGTGGGACTGCTTGTGTTAAAAGTACCCCTCTACGAATTAGCAGTTGTAATTTACTGTCACTATTTTTTGAGGACGAGATTATCCCACCAGCTAAGCTAAAGTCTCAAGTCGCATTGAACCAGTGTTTACGTAACTTCGCTGTCAACTTGAGCCATACGGTTAACATACCACAATGCATGCGGTTAACGTCCAAATTCTTATTTGACGTCAAGTTTTCTACTGCGACTTCATTCTCCATGGTTGTCTCAATTTTTAGGAAACTTCAACGCTGTCAACTACACCATTGTGCTCTGTTTGTCGTTTTCTTCATGTGAGTTCGATACAACTGACCGTGCGCCACTAAAATGGCTGGGAGCTGTAGCTTGTGCTGACTAAGAATGAAGTTGGATCGCCAATACCTCGTGGATCTGGACCAGAGTCGGATGCAAAGCTTGTGGGTATCGTTTCTCTTTCAGCTCATATCCAAGAGCTTTGTGTAACGGTAAGTCTTTCAGTCCGTTTGTTTGGAAGGATGTGGGGCTTCAGAATGTGGTTGAGCTGGGAATTGACATGAAATCACCTGAATCGATCAAACTTTTCTCTGGATTGGCAACTTCTCTTACTCGAGATTCTCGACTCCCTGGCCAGTTCCACATTTCCATCAAACGTAGTTTAAAGGCCCCTGGATTTTTGAATGTGTGCTTTGTTCTTGCCGAAGGTTGAAAAGTGTCCTTGATGCTTTCAATTCCATTTCATTCATACCTGATACAATTTGTAATACGGTTGTTTTTAGAAAATCTATTTGTTTGATTTCGAACTTAAACTGTTTGATATATCTGCAGAATTACATGTTTTGCAATCGGAAATACAATAATTTATTGTGTATATGAGTTGAAGATTGAAGTGGTGAATTTTTATTTCAATCCATGGCATAAACATATTTCGTTTGTGATCAGAACATGCATGTTTGTTTTTTGAGGACGTTTGAAAGTTTTATTTTCATTTTTTAATTTCTAAAAAATATTTTTATTAAAAGAGAATAATGTATGGAAAGTAAATTAACTGGGTACCAATTATGAATCTTTGGAAAATGTGACTAGATGTGACTTGTTTTTAAAGGTGCGGTTTCATATATATATATATTTGAAATTTATTAGCAATGTATGTCTATTTAACCAGTATCTCAATTACATTAGTATTCTATACTTTTCAACCAGTATCAAGTTGAAGTTTTTATTACATTTTAATATATGCTTTATGACTTAGAAACTTCCAAGTTCTTACAGTTTCTAATTTTTAATTTTGTTAAACTATCGAAAAAAACTTTTGTACAGTTTAATTTGTAAGCTGTCTTGTCTCCAACGTAGTTTCATACAGTCAAACATATCTGTAGGATTGTGACTTATTTTCCAATCCTAAAGTCATAATATTCTTATTCAATTGAGTGTCAAATAGAAAGTATTTGATTCATTCATAAGAAACTTGGGCTTTTAACTTTACTCAACGGATATAAATTTCTAATAATAAATTATGGAAAACACTTCAATCACAATATGTTTAATTAATGGGCAAACACTTGCAACCTCTTAATTCCATTATCCTTGCAACTGTAAATAGCTCAAGCTATACATTTGCATGATTTGGAAAATGTGGCACAAAGGCCAAACTCTTGTTTTGAAAGCTGACAAATGAAAAAGTAACTAATGGCAGGCAATATTCAGCATAAAGCATCTGACATACACAGCATTGAAAATGAAGATTATATTATCACAAGGACCATACAAGACCTCAATCCAGCTTACACTACCTGGCCTGCAGATAAGGTGAGTGACAGGATTTACACTGAACTCCTGGAGATTGTTTTGTGGGCATCACTTTTTGCACCATAAGGAAAAGCTACGTGTGGGAGCTTGTGCCGAAGGCTTCACACTAACAAATGAATTTTGTTAAGCTTCAGTGCTATGATCAAGTCACAAGCCTGGTTCACAAGTAAAGCATGAGGGGATTACCAGTGGTACAGTGACTCTGCTGAGTCAGAGTATTGTCAGTCAACCATAAAGATTGCTTATGTCCCTCCTCTTCTGTTCATCAGTACTCAACAAAAAGTATGTGGCATACAGTATGTCACCCTTTCCAGCAGCCTTGAAGCTCAAATCCCTAGAAGTCAAACAAATCAATAAATCAAAAAGACATTCCATGCAGGACAACCCATGTGTTGAGAATGGGTTCTCCAACCATACCACCAGGTGAAAAGATATTAGCACTGCTTCAAAGCTTTCTCTTGGGTTTTGGGATTGCTGGCCTAGGCAGTATGAAAGAAGTACCCGACTCTGTCCTCTGCATCAGTTTCCAAATCTTGTCAGGCATCTGGAGCATATTCATTCATTTGAAGAGTGTTCAAATAACTTAAGCGCTTACATGGTCATCAAATTAAACTAAATCACATATTCAAAACTTCTTATTAAATTCTATAAACTCCCAAACATAAATGGGATGTGCTGGATGAGATACAGTGGAAGGGGCATTGTGGAAACAAATTACACTCTGAAAAACCAAAACACCAGAGAATCAAAACTATGTTAATCTTTGCTTTGACTATTTCCCTATCCTCAAGTAAATACCTTGCTGTGGCTTCATAATCTCATGGAGAAACCGCCACATGTACAAATAACCTCAAGTAGAACAACCATTCTCAGCTCCGGCACTGGAAATAGAAAACGGTGGATCCCTCTCATGAGAAGGAACCAAGTAAGATAATATCACATGATTACACAACTACACTCTGGTATTCCTGAAGTAAAACTTAAGATCATTCATGATACATTACCTTGTACAACCAAATCACCCTAGGGGCTCAGACATCTACAAGCCCAAGCTCAGCTTATGGATCCTGCCGCAAAATTCATGTGATCCATGTGAGCCTTGAACACTACTGTAGTAACTTTGACTCTCTATCGTATGTTGATAGGTTTCTTTCTTGGACAGACATATCCACAGCCTTCAAACCCTCTAGCTTACAAATCGGATCAGACAATCATGTGTAAGCTTGGCATCTGTCAGATCAGTTGAGAAATAATGACATCAAATAATCACATTTCTGCTTCTGTAGACGGACGCGGCGGCTTTATGAAGCCAAATTTGTAGTACACATCGCTACATATAAAGATGTAACCCTCCTCGTAACGGATGTCGGCATTTTCCAGGTCAACAGCTGATAGAACAGGCAAGGGGAAGCCATGGTCCAACTTTCTATTCAAGATGGGGAGAATCACTCTTGAGATGACTGTTCGCAGTGTGGGCTGCACAGAGTCCGCATCATCATTGTGAATTAGCGAACAAGAAGACTTTTAGCTTTTGTACTTTGTCCACCTATCTACCTTGTACGTAGCAAAGCGTTTAGTCACCGTTTCAAGAGTCCGTTATAATTTTTCACTCCTACACTGCAACATTTCAATTACTGTTTGAGGTCATGCACACGTGGGGGAGTATGGCGGAACCATGTTTCCTGAAATAACCTGACAGTAGGGAGGCCCAGGGCCTGGTCCTGGACCCCCCACATAGTTAAACATTATCACTTCTCTCCCACATCGAGATAGACTCTAACTTTGGAAACATGCAATAATCAACTCATGTAAAATAATAAAGCGACAGATGAGTGCTTAGCACCTTCCACCATGCAAAACCCATACTACCGAGAGTGTCTATTGTACGTTCAGTGAATTCAGACATGGCCTGTAATAGGTAAGAACCAGACTCACCTGAAGGAGGTTGACAGGAAAATTCCCAATGTCACTCCAGTTCATCTCGAGGGTCAAATCATTCAGAGTTGCTTCAGCCGTAATATTATTACCCACAACATTGAAGATCGCATCCATGGACAGAGCCTGAGGCAAAAACAACTTAACAGGTCAGAAAATTGGATATTTGATGTTTCACCAAAAACGAATTACATTAAAGAACAAGCAGACCTCAAGGGAAAACAAGAGCACGGTCTAATTCTTGGGGTAGAGCTTACCAGAGATATGCAAGCTACAGGGAGTGACTTCCCCTCGGTTTTCACCGACAAGGTCAAATCAGCTACGGCATTCGCTGTTACGCCATCAGTCTTAAGTTGAACCGTTGGTGGTGCAGAACTGGCAAAGCCCAATGCCATGTCCGTATTTGGATATTTCTTGTACAGTTGGGGTATAAGCCAACGCCAAAAGTGAGTGTTTAACCATGATTCCTGTGGTAGCTCGTCTACTATCCACTCCAGATATCCAGCCTGCACAGGAAACATATCCTTTTAATAACAGCACTCTAATAGAAATACTAGGACATTACTTCCATCTGCAACCAAAATTAAAAGCCTATGAAACACAGAAAAGGACCTAACGTCAACTTCTGTAAAAAAAACTCTGGGAGTTATTAATTGTAATCAGGTATTTCGATCACAAGGATTCACAATCTGTTTCATTCGGTACTGGCAGGTTAAAAGAATTTAAACAAAGTAGCAAGTGTAATACAACTAAAAGTAGATGACTTTTTAAACAACCTGTGACTTATTGGAGAAACTCTTAACTAAAGAAAGCAGGGCTCAATAAGCACACGTCGCCCTGAGAAACTTAGAGAGGTCAACTCTGTTATATGAGCATGAAGCCCAGTAAACTTTGAAGCTAATAGGTTTGAAGAGCATGCACCTCATAGTATACAGCGGCTGCCGAATTGATGACGTAGTCACAGAGGGCAATGGTGACCATCTTTGTGGAGTCATTACAGAACAATCCAGGAGGCAACCCATGATCAGGAAATGTGAAGTTTGAGGGTTTACTCAGGGAGGTAAACTCTCCCCTCACACCCACGCTGAGAAACGTAAGGCTCACCAGCGGGTCTTGTACAATGGTCACATCAACAGCAGAGACATCGTCTATAGGTAAGTAGCGAGGGAGTAATTGGAGGTTATTATCCAGCTGCGCTATGCTTGCAATAATTCTCTTTGTTATTGCAGCTTCAAGTATTGCACGAATCTCCTCGTCAAAGGCATACACAAACCTGTTGAAGATAGTAGAGAACCATTATCTACAAAGTGCTAATCAATTATCATTGGAGTTAAGCATCTGTCCCAAAATTAACCCTTAGTTTGAAATCTTTCTGAAGCTATGCTTCTAGCCAGTCAGCTACAACCACTTAAGAAAAAGGAATGAGCCACTCATACTTGGATCCTTTCAATAACACAGCGTAGCGCCACCCTTGACGTTTCATAACACATTCGACATCATCATATATCCAAAGAATCGAGAAGCTCAATAATATCCAAAGAAGAATATCGAAACAAACACTTACAACTGATAAAGCCACGATGCCCCTCCTTGCAATTGAATATCAAGATCATCGATGCCGGTTCCACACTCAACGACTGTTAACCGCACCGTTCCATTGTGTGCTTGAAGAAAAAATGACACGCCCGCTACCATGTTATTTACCTGCACAAATACAACTACAGATCAAAGTTGAGCACTAACAGATAAGCTTAAGTCATAAAACAAGCTTCGAAAATTCTTTTTGCTCGGTCATAAGAGTCCAAATACTACTATCATCGCCATGTAGGCTCAAGAAGTGCACCCTTGTGGTTCACTTCGGACTGGTAAAGATCTTAAAGTTTTAGAATCTGCATATTTACATTGTGCTTGAAACATTAGACTTCAAGAGCTACACAACCTCAAAAAAGGTTTAAATACACGAACAATAACGTCAGAAAATAGAAGAAACCAACAGCAGGGCGGAAGTTCTCAGACTGTTACCTCCACATCCGCCCATCCGCGGTCACTAAGGGGAAACGGCACAAACATAGACATAAATTTAAAATACCAATGGAGGCGAATCCGGGCGTTAATATCCCCAGCGAACACAGTAATGCCCGTCTTCCAAAGATCAACATCCGAATATGAAACATTCGCCCCAGAGAGCTCGATGTGGGATATTTCCATGTCAACGCGGCCTAAGGGAGAGTCAGTGTGCGTTTTGATGTCTGGTAACATCAAGGGGGTTATCTCTTCAAGTAGTTGGTTCACGAGCATTTCCTTCGCGTATGTCAATCCGGATTCAGAGAGGGTAACCATGATCCCAGCAACATTTCCACCGTCTCCGTCGTCGCCACTAACTGAGGCATCCGGACTTGCATTTCCTGTGAGAACAATGTTTTCTGCTTCTGTTTCCTCCACAACAATCTTAAACTTGGAGTATCTTCCATCGTATGCAGTCTCGTTCGAAGAAGGCTCGAATTTCGCTGAAAAGCCTGGGAGCAGCAAGAGGCTGATGGAGGCAGAGAGGAGGAAAACTCTGAGGACGGTAAACCCCATACTCCAAGTCTATAAAATGAAAAATTCCTCAATAGAGCCACTCAAGGCACATATCGCACAGTAACTGGAGACGAAAGAATAAATCCCAAAACCCTAATTGGCCAAACAATTCGATGAATAGGTGGCTCGTCAATTTCTTATACGGAGAATCGCAAAACTTCTACTCTGATTACCCACGCCAGCTACAGAATACCCTAGTACAAATCCCGCACAGGCGCGCAACAATTAAATGAATACCGTCGAAGACAGAGAACAGAGCCGAAATTGGGATTGGGAAAACTCAGCAGCCAGCAACGACGCTCAAAGTTGAAGACATGAAGAACTTGCATTGATGAACTCCCCTCGATTTAGGAAAATTCAAGCATCTAAGACTCACAAACTGACCGCTTACTTCCTGCCAATTGTGATGAATTGCGATTGAAGGGCTCACTGTGACCACGAACCCTAATCCCAGCAATTAAATTGAGTTACTATAGAACGAAGCAAGCGGACGTCTCAGGAGAGAGCAAGGTGAAAAGCGCCTGGAGCAAGGTAATCTGCACAAGAAGCAACAACAAACTATCACAACACCTCAAACCCACACGTAATCCCATGTCCCTCAACACTTATCACAAAATTAGCGAAATTCATCGGCTCCTTACAACCAGATGGAACAATCCTTCGCTAACACCCAAATCTCGTGACTACTTCCACCTTTCTCCAAAGCACCTCGAGACCTGGAAGTATCCAAATCGTGGAGTAAAACCTCGACTATACTGATCGGGCTTCCCCAACGAACACACTCGCCTTAGAGACTGGAATGGCTGTCTTCGGGGTTTTTGCAAATTTTGCAGCATCGACATGCTTAGCTCAGGAACCTTCGGCCATACGTCTGTGCTCAATCTGCCAGTTACGACGTGAGAATCGTCATGATTCTGAGAGCAGCCCGCTGGATGCACTCTCGTATCTAACGTCACTCGTGAATTCCTGTCTAGTCAAGATACAGTGATGATCTAAGCACCTTAACCTAGGTCATACACAGATGTTTTTATTGAATTAACTAAAAATAATGATATTAGCAATAACGTGAATAGTAACGTGTAAACCGAAGCCTGCATCAATCTTAAAAAATTATTGAAACACAAATCAGTGAATCAAGTTGTACGAAGACATTCCTCGGTCCTCTAAAAGCAAAATTAACATGTTCACGAGGTTTTCGGTGACACTGTTCTAAAGGCATTGCGGAGTTTGGATCCGGCTCATGACGGCATCTCTTGACAAATGTGCACTTGTCTTCTCGGCAGAGAATCGTGCTGTGAGAGTTGCCGCTTCTGTTAACAGTGGAGAAGCTCAAATTGAATCCACACCGGCTTTACTCTGACTGGTGGAGACTAACATGTCGAATGAGTGCCAAGGAAGTGGGTCGACGTAGTCACATCGGCATTCATGTAAAGTAGGAGAAAAATGCTCAACATCCGAATGAAGAAAACGTTTTACATTTAAGAATCAATTTCTATGGGTACATCAATTAATTGGTCTTTTGTTTTATGTGGGATGCAGTAGTGAGCACACAAATGACTAACTATCGCACACTGCTAAAACTGCTAGAAATGGAACTCCCTACGCTGTGTCTGCAATAAATCTGAAGTCATTTAAGGAAGGGATGATCAACCCCGGTTCAGTACCCTAAAAAAATTGTGAAAACTTTCTTTGCGCAGGAAATATGTGTCTGAGACCAGTTGTAGACAACGTGCGGAGGTTCAAATGTCAACCTCGACGTGTCCCGCGTGATTTCTTCCTGTTGTAATGAAAGGAAACTCGCCTGATGTACTCCAATATCTATTGTTGGTGCAGATCGTGGTTGAGACTTGAACCTTGGTGCCACGAAATCTTGGGTGAAAATGAAGATTGCAGCTACTCTCGAGTCACAGCTCGTCCATAGTAACTAACCCCTGCTCCTGCGCGAGGTTCATCCGCTGATCCTGTCGATGCTGGCCACAGGGACGCTACTGAGGACGAGTCTCCCCCCGCATTGTTGAAACAAAATTTCGTATTATTTGGTGCACCAGTTGAATAGTTGAATACTGAAGAGAATTGAGCACAACCCAGATCTTTCACTCTTCTCTGGGTCGAGATGTCGTGATCAAACATCACACTGCAAATTCGCCAACTGTTCAATTGGAAGAATAAATTTCACTTTCCATCTGCTAATTAGAACACTCCTGAAGAGAATCGGGCACATTTGTTTTTGTCAGTTTCTTGTTTCGCTGGAGTTAGATCGCCAGTCTCTGTTTGAACGTTTAATCTCGACAGTGCTGATTAGTCAAGGTCAAATACACTCCGGCTCGCTGAAGGTCATGATCGGAGACCTGACATTGTCCGCTTGTTATAAAGTAGTTCGCTCTTTTCATGTCGCCGTCGGCCGCAATTCCGAATCCAGAGAGGCTGTTGTTTGGGGAGCTTCGAAGCGCGTAGGAGGGGTCCTGTTCAAGCGCAGCCTGCATGTGCATTTGATGGTGGCTCACTGGGCTTTCATCGTAGGAAGGGTCCATTCCGAAGTAGCTCCCCGCACGCCGCAGCTGCTCTGCATGGTCGACCTTCATCTGGCAAATCATTGACGACGCATCATCCGCTCCGTATCTACCAGACATCAGATACAACGTCGACTGGTGAGCACATGAAGATTGACTTGGAATCATGACCGGGGCATCCTATATAAAATAGCAAGTAGATAAGATTTGAGGCATGAGACAAACTTCTACCTGTAATCCATGGGAAGATTGTTCAACTTCTGATCAAATTTGCTGTCGAACCTGTGCACGTCCTGAAAACCGATGTGGTGTCTCAAAAACTGCGACTCGTCATCATCGAAAGCAGAACCGCTTGGCAATCCGGGTTGTCCATGAAAGCTATGGAGTTGTCCAGCTGCAGCAACTGCCTGCTGCTGCTGCTGCTCCATCAAGAAAAGCTGCTCGCGAGCGATATTAAGCTCTTCCTTCAATTTGGACACTTGGTTTTGCAACACGGTAATGACGCCCAGGCACCCGTGTACAGGGTCCTTCTCTCGAGTGTCGGCCTCGTAAGCAATGGATTTTACTGTGTCCTCACGCTTGGAAGGGTCGACATGTTTGAGGATGCGCAGAATGTTGCTGACGCCGAAGAGTTTGTGGACGTTGGCGAAGCGCTTGGGTTGGTCCGGGGGGAAGTAAGGCGAGAGAGGACAATCTGCCGAACATTTTCTCCTCTGATACTTGCAGGCCGCACACGCTGTGTTGGTGCTCCCACTTGATCCTGTCATTGCTGGAGCTAGCTTAGCCAGTAGCCGCCAAGATTAAAGGGCAAAATGTCTGCAAATTCATGTAAACAAAAGCGGGCCCATGAGGAGGCAGAATCATCACTCAATTACCAGTTTCCATCACTCAGCATTCGCATAAGAAGTGGACATCAACCAGGTGATGGGATGTACTCAACTACGACCTCGAATTCGTAGAGCAGTTGAGCTGTCTCACTGCTAAACAGGTTCCCACAATAACGTTTTCCAACACTAGGGAGCTCTGGTAGATGTCCATTAATGAGTACTATACTCGCCCCATACAGACGAATAACCACGCTGAACACATACTTTAAAGGCTAATTAGAGTTCGGTAATGATGCGGACATTTTTGGCTGGGCAAGACAAGACTCTGAAAAGAAGTGCTAGTACGAGAGACAGAGTCGAGACAAAGAACTTCGATAGCAGACCTGTAGAGCGAAAGGATAAGCGACAGAGAAGAGGAAATGAAGAAAGAGTTAGACCAAGATGCGATGAAGACCTAGTATTGAAATCACTACCACTCAAGGGCTACGATACTGTGAAAAGCGGTCATTCTCAACGGAATTAGGTTATAAGATCCTAATGATCCGTTCATTATGTCACACATAACGACTGTTCACTCCGGATCTAAAATTACGTAGCTCCCTTTCGCGTCTAGAACCCAGATTAAGTGCACCCAGAGGGCGTGTGTGACATGTGCGAAGATAGTGAATAGTGGAAAGACATTTGGTAAAAAGAGAACCTACATGGAGGTAACTGTTTTGGCGCACTTCTGATTTCGAGTGTAGAATGGGGCGGTGAAACTAACACCATCTTGGGATGAAATGTAAGCGGTAAGTGAAAGACATTATCGTTAAACAGAAACATTGTAACAAGATTGATATTGAGGTCTATCTACAAGACGCAGGTTCTTTCTAAAGACTCGCTCAAACCTCTTCAAACGATGAGATCAGATTCGTCACATCGCTGTGTGCAATCCTTGTGTAAAACCTGCTTTTTATCTCGACGGGACATTGCTCTGAAAATAAGTCATGTGCGATATACGGAACTCAACAACCTCTTTAACCATCTACTAATATCGGAATGATTACCAACCTTCAGTTCCTCAATGCTAACACCAAACGTGGGGGAGAAAAAATAAGCAAATCACTAGGTTGTTTCGAGGTATAGCATTCGAAAAATGTAATATCTCAACGCGACAATGGCTGCTTGATTAGTATCGTGCAACACCCTTACCAAGAGCTTTCAACATGACATTCAAAGACAATTCAGAGTGTGAAGTCATGAAGTACTCACAGATTCCAGTGGACTCAAAGTGGCACTCCCCTCTAGTCAATCGTTAAATCTTCAGCGTGTTCGGCAGCAGATTCAAAAGACTTCTGACAATTTTGTCCAGGTAATGATTTCAGAATCAAAACATCGGGGCGACAACTACTGCTGCAGCTGCTGCAGAATGAGACCCTTCGGCGAGCATCCAACCGTGTAGATCGTCAATGACAACCTCGCACCTTCCATAAATCCGAACCGCCTCTAGTAGTTGAATCCTGGCTGGTCTACAACTCTGAATCTGAATCTGCAGCCCTTTGGAACCCAGTGATATTCCTTGACTGCTGCCCAGCAACCTCACTTCAGTCTCATGACCTCACGCTACAGACCAGTGCTGCCAAACATGAAGCAGAAAATCCTCCCGACTACTCATAAACTCAACCGAATCTCTCTTGAAAGCTTCTCGACGAGCTACGGTCCAATTAATTCAGTTATCCACTTCGATGAGTGTCACGCAAAAGCAAGACAGGCTCCGAAGAACTCGACCGCGGAAGAACTCCCACAAGGTTGTTCTAAACCCTGGCACTAAACCTGGCGATCTTCGCACAGCAAGCGGAGACAAGCTCGCGATGCAGCGAAGGAAGCGCTAGAAGCAGCGATGAATGAATCTGGAAGAATGTGAGGGACGTCTCGGGGGGAGGAAGGCTTTGATACACGGCGAGCGGGGGAAACCAGGTGAGGTGGGGGTGGGGGGAAGAGGATCGTGATCTGGCACATGACTAAAGTCGACCTCATGTGGCGACGTAACTTGGTAACTTCTACGCCATCTGCGTCCAGATCCTCAGGTTTCCCGGGTCAACTGAACGAATGAGCCCCTGCTGATGCCTCGATGGCCCCCACATCGATATTCGTTGTTGTCTGGATGATAATGTAGGCTCATCATTCCTTGTGAAAACTGGGAACACCACGTCACGCGCTGTGACACTTTGAGCTATCCACCTTAAGTCTATTCGCTAGCTCAGCGAAAGAAAGACTCCTTGACTTGAAGAGATTATCCCCCAAAGCACTTGATCCCACGCCACACAATCGCAGCCCCAGCTTGAAACCATACAGTAAAGCAAAACTCGGGTGCAACTTCTACAGAAACATTTGGGCCTCGGTACATGTCAGAAGACGAAGAAAACAAGCTGGGCGCATGGTCGATAAATAAAGCTATAACCGGGCTTGAACACCGATCACTGAATGTTGAATCAGGACCAGATTCAGTTTGGCTTGGAACATAGCATGCAGTTGCTCAGATTGGCAGGAATGCGAGGACATGGGACTCATTTGAGAATGATCCAAAGGGTGCTGTTGGCGTACCCCCAACTGGCTGGATTTTTCTTGTATGTTGTATGTGGGCGGGCAAGAGGCTGGGAATATGGCTCATATTTCATTAGCGCTCTTAATTGGGGAGCTTCGGCAATGGCTTCAAGGTTAACAGTGGCTCTTATTAGCAGAGCGTGCTTCGCAGCTGGAGAATCAATCACATGAAGGTCCGCTGCCAAACCTTTCACTGGATTGCTTGCTTAATCCTTGGAATAATGCCCCTCCTCCGAAATAGAATGCACTTGTGATGAGCCGTGTCTTGTGGGCGTTGCGATCTCGCTGTTGTGCATCCAACCGCTCCGCTGATCGGGGCCGTCGGTGGCGATTGGGTCGATCGGAGGGCACCAATGCTCCACTGGATCCCAAGCCCAAGACCATATTAGTTGCCAACAAAACGACAATAAACATAATATTATATATATATATATATATATATATATATATTCTAGTGGAAACTCATGTTGTTTATAAGCTGATTTTGTTGAAAATTCGACCCAATTCCCACCAATGGCCCTGATCAGGTCGATTTTATAGAAATTTTTGTTACGAGCTGATTTACAGAAAACTCGTGAAAAAGCTAAATTTCCACACAAAGGCATGGGTTCTCTATAAATCAGCTCATAACCTAGAGTTCAATGACGCCCTACGTGAAGACAAAGGCCAGAAATTAAAGACCGAGTGGAATCCACTATACCCGCAAAAGCAATACTACTTTTCACAACCTCAATTAGGAGTTTCCGATCTCCACTCCTGTTGATCTTGTAATGTTACTCTTGGCAATTTGCAACAACCACTTGCAAATTTTGATTTGCAATTGATCAAAAATTGAGTTATTATTTCACTTTTGATGAAAACAGTGATATATGCAACTAATCAAAGATGGTTATTTTGTCTCTTGAATTGTTTTATATAAAAAATATGTTTATATATATATATATATATATACACACACACTTGCAACATACAGTGCTACTCACCTCTCTCTCACTCTCTATGTATATGAATAAATTCCAGAAAGAATAAAAACAAACAAATAAAGGATAAGGTCAAAATTTGAAATCTGACATTCATTTCAAATAATGACATCAACAAAAAAAAATAAAAAATAAAAAATAAAGACTGTCATACATCAAGTTCATCTTGTGTTGTCATGGTGCCAGATTTTATTTTACATCACAATTACACATACTTACAATGTGAAATATGATTTTACACAACTTCTACTACTTTTTCTCTTCTTTTTCCTGTAAGATTGCATATAGTTTTAATAAAATTTATGTATTATAATTTATTTATTTTTCATTTATTTTCTTAATTGTATTTTTTTTTAAATTAACTACATTGTGGTATAGATGCTTTTATTGACATATAAGTGCTATTAGTTCGAAGGTCCAGTTGAAAGACAATATGCAAGTATGAATGTTTTATCTAACTCAACATACTATGTCTAATCAGCGATTGTTATCTAAAAAAGTAAATGGTTTTGGATCCAAGTTCTCAGTCACGTCCATATGTTTTTTTATAGTATATGAATGATAGTCATGATATGTATGGTGCTTCCAATACTATTTCAATTGCTATTGTAAAAAATACTATTTGCATCATTTAAGAATCACATGTATTTTCGTCAGGAATATATTTTTGAACGATTTAAAAAATATGATTTATTCGGAATCTAAATTTGGGTGTGAAAATATGCTTCTCAAGTTTGGTGTATTGTCAATACAAATGAAACGTGGCATTTAAAATATTAAAAATAAATAAATAAATTGCAATAGCTCAAGAGCTTGTGCACAATGAAAGGAGTTATTTTGCAAGGCACTGAAACCTACTGTGTAATAAATAAAGCTTACAAAAAAATATGAGCATTTGTACACATTTATGTTACTCTCTAGGAACATTCATTTATTTTTAACAATACAGTTATTGTACAGCTTTTAATATGCTCGGTGCAAAGTACAAGTTTATCAAAGTCTTATAACAAAATTTGACAATTTCACAACATATTGAACATTGAAAATTTTGAAACTGGTCATTTCACATCATTAAACAATTGCAATACAATATATGGATGCCTACTATCCACAACCATTGTACTAGATCCTAGAGTAATAAACCCAACAATTATGCAAAAAGATTAATGGAGACAACACAATGTCATGACTTTGAATACAAAATTTCAAAACAAATTTCATTTATTTAATTATTTTCTTTAATAAAATATGTGTATGCTTCAACTGCACATTAATATTTAGCTATTTTGTTTGTATTGTTTTGAACAAATCAAATCATGACCCAGAAGACTTATCCTGGTGCACTTTAGAAACTTTACTTCCCTCTTAATTTATAAAAAGTGTCACAAACCCATGTGTGTGTGTGTGGTTGTATTTAAACAAAATAGTGTTACTCTTTGATTGGTTAGATCAATATTATTTCTTATTTTCAACACAAAATTAACACAGTAGTAAAATGATATGAACAATCATTAAGCTTACAGAATCATCTGTCTGACTATTCCAAAAGAAAAAACACAATGCTTTATCATGAGTCTACTAAACACATCAGTAACCTATACATTTAGATATTTATAAATAAGCACATCTGTGTGTGTTGAAAAAAAAAATTAGGGTGCTCTTTCAATATATACAACTTGTCAACTAAATAAGTAGATAGCATTTGGATGTTGCTTGATGCTCCAACTGGAGTTTGTAATATGAAATTAATTATCCACTTTGAAATCATTAATATTTATTTTTATTTTTATCTTTAAACAAACGTATAATTTTTTTAAATAAAGCAGGATTCATCAAAAACATGAAACAGTATGTATATCATGTATGCTTGCATGTAACATAACCACATGTTTGGTAAGTATGGAACATTTGTGATTATTTAAAACTTGATCCATGCTTTTACATTTAATAATTGAAAAACTCAAGAGTTAGTGTTCCAAATGCACAAACATTACATGCTTAATCAATGTTTTGAACCACACAATGCACAAGATCCACAATAAGCTATTTATTTGGTGCAACGAATAATTTAGTCCTTAAAATATTACCCAATCTTATGAAAGTGTAAATGAGCTTTAGGTTTTAACAAATCTCAATTTAGACAAGATTCATATGGTTCATGGGTATTAGGGTTTCATTAGAATTATGTAAGAGTGTGATATGATGCTGAAAGCAATGAACAAAGTTTGTCAAACATAATTATTTTATATATTGCACTAAGTTTATTAAAATAAGTTTATGCATGTGGCAAAAAAAAAAAAAAAAAAAAAAAAACTTTATTTCGTTCTTTCTTTTTCTTTCTAGCTACATGCAAAGATTTCACTGAAAACACACTAATGCATAAGTATTGATAAGCTCATTAACAGCAGTAGTTATTTTTTATTTATTTATTTATAAATAAATAAATAATATACTACCATGTTTATATCAAAATGTACTAAAACTAATTAAAATTATTTGGGATGGAAAACCAGCATTTCAATAATATATATATACATTTTTTAATTTTTTTTGCAAGATATATCCAATATCCCACATATACACATTCATATTGTCTAGTAAATGACATATTGGATATAACGACATGATTGATCACAGTTTCAAGTGTATTAAAACAAGACTACAGATGATGGTGTACTAACTACACAAGAGTGAAATGAATGACAAGTGAGAATATTAAAACATAATGTTGAAGAGCGTTCATTGCTTGATTAGTCATTACAAACAGGATTAAATTACAGTGGCATGTTTTTCAATTCCACAAGCAGATCACAAACCAAATATTGTTATTTTGTGATTCTATTGCAGACCCATATTGGAGGCAATTCTCATTTACACTCTTTGGGATGATTCACAAGCATTCATTCATAATGGTAACAATGAGCCCAAGACGAGCAGGATGTGGGCAACTGGGTTCCAGAATCGATTCCAGAAACGGAGCTGTGCCCTTCTGTGATCATCTCAGGTGAGAGAGTTGTTGTTGTTGTTGTTGTGCCGCACAAGATTCTCCGCTCATGACCTTCCAAAAGGATATTCCGCTCCACTTCTCTTCGCAAACGGCCGAATGCTGGGCAGACACACACAGCGGGCAGTCTGTATTACGCGGAGCTCATCCCTCTCCAGTCCAACTAATACTTCCGCCGAGGTGGGTTCTATTTGGGGATGTTCCAAATTTAACACGTCAACGAGGATCTTTCATTAGTTACTAATCGTTGCTCGGACGGAGTGGGACGAGCTGGTAACGACAAATTCCACCCTAACTACAGACACAGACACACACACGAAGCGACACGCAGAGCGATCGAGCGAGAGGATGGGGGAGGGTTGCGAGA